GCTGGAGACAAGTAATTTAGAACAATCTCAAGTCTGCCCTAAATTATGCCAGGATCTGAATCAGCTTTTGTGTACTGCTAGAGCATAGAACGTCGTGTGGTTTAGCATCCCCTTATTCTGCCCAGAGTAGAACTATGGTGTTTCTGAACATCAGGTTGTCAGAATATGCTGTAAACAATATGTTGTATATTAGTTAATAACGGAAGAATATTTTACTAAAAAGACTCACAAAAAAGAAGAAAATAGTAATGCTGTCTTGTGTACAGAGTGTGTGTGGGAGGGTGGAGATAAAAGGAGAAACCCCTTTTTTATCAGTTGGTTGTGCTGCATATACTACAGGTGCATGTACTACTATTTTCACCTACTGGTTCTAAGGGAGACATTCTCAAGTCAAACACATTCCCTTGGCAGCCACAGAACTACCAGGAGTTTGGCTTCCATCACCAAATCTGTGCCAAAGTTCATTAATCTTATTGTTCTACCTATATTTGTAGTCTTCAGTTTTAACATTCATATTGTCAGAAGTAGATTTTTATGGCTTCCGAAACCTTGGGCGAACCCAACAAGATTCCTCCCAAAAAATAAAAAGAAATAGACTGTAAATGTTTGGCCATAGAAGGGCTCTTATCTCTCAGTGAATGTCAAGGCCACCTTCGTATCTGCATGTATAAGTGACCAGCTTTATGGTCTCTATAGTGCCCTGCTCACACATGCAGTAAGCAGAATTGAGGGATATTGGTAACAGCATGGGTGAAGGAATAAAGACATCCTCCTTCCCAAATTTGAGCTTGCAAGTGTTTAATGGCCTTTGTATTAATAAAGCGGAGGCCATCTTTATTACTGTGAATTACTGTGAACAATGCCTTCCTTCTGGTCTGCTGATAGCAAGTGGAGAGTTTTTTGTTTTGTTTTATTTTGTTTTGTTTGTTAAGTGGATTTGCAAGCATCTCTGAAAAGGAACTCTATCAATATTATTCTCAAGACATTTAGATTCAACTGCAAATACACTGAAAGGAGGTCATATTTTTCACTTGACAGTCTTGACTGTATCCTTTAAATGCTGTGCTGCTGTTTGGGAAGAGCCATATGAACTCACTTCTACATAAATAACCAATTGGATCCCATTTATGAAGGCCTGAATTGAAAATCAAGCCTTCAAGTTCTACCCCGCCTAATAAGTGACCAGTGGGACTGCATTATTTCATTCTTCCTCACAAACTATTCCTTCCTTCCTCCCTCCTTGTGTCCAGGTATTCAGCAGAATTCCCAGATTCATTAGAATCTGACATGGCTTCTACTATGGCCTCAAACCTGAAATGCCTTGACTAGTCAACCATGCATCTTAGCGCCTCCACCACACCAGCCCCCTCACAGACCGTTATTCATATTTTAAGAAAATAGTAATCTTTTTTAGCTTTACCATGATTTTTCTATCTTGACACTTCTGTGCCACTTCAAGAAAACTGCCTTTTGAAATATTCTGCACAAGTCTAAGAAACTCAGCTTCTACTAGAAACCATATTCTCTCACTAGAAAGTACTTGACCTCTGCATTATTTTTTCCAAGTCAGCTTGTTATGACTAATGAATCAGAGGGAGGATTTTTCCCCCTTACATTTTCTTCAGTCCACTCAGTTCTTGCAAAGCACAAAGGTAAACAAAATCTACTCCGTTAAATAATATTCTATGTTCTAAATAATACTTGTTCACATTACAGTCAATAATATTGTTATTGAGATATTATATGCTGCCAGCATTCCTGTTTAGAGAATTATGTTGGAAGGATCTTCTGCTTCTGAATTGTCCTGATAGCATTTGAGGTCCATTTTTTTGTTAAAAAAATCCCAACAATATGGGTTTGTCAGCAAATATATCTACAAGACTTAAGAGGTCCTGTGGAATCAGACTGCATGGAGTGCAACTGAATAATGAAAAACCGCACAACATGTATTTTCCCCCAATGGTGAATAATATGTCAGAGAGAAAAACACATTAGCTCAGCCACTATATATCTATAATGCATTTATTTCACTGGAATTTTTATGAAAACTAAACATACAGATCTGGTTACTGTAACTTAACCAGCTCAATGAAATAAAGGGAGAGAGACCAATGGCAGAAGATTTTATGTTTTTGAAGTGAGTAGGATAGAATTATTTGATTCACAGTTACACCTAATATGGCTGAGTAACATAAACACTAATATCCTGTTTCTTACTCCAGACAGCAAATCCTGTATTGCTTAAATTTAGTTCAATGTGAAAGAAAGCTGCTTTACAGTAGGCAAAAATGTTTATTAAATATTCTTATAAGATCACTGAAAATAGTAAGCGCTAGTTCTTTTCCACACAGTCTTGAAGAACTCAGTGTTCTGCTAACATTTCTAGAACAAAATACAACTAATTGCAAGTTTTAAAGTTTTATAAGCAAGTTTCACCTAAGGTATCCCACACTGAAATTCCAGGCCTGTGTGTCATGCCCTGAAACATCTGCAGCAGAATATAGCATTCTTGATAAATGAGATAAGTAAAAACATGTTTGTCATTAATATTTTAAAAGTATATCTCTTCACTTACACACTTAAAATAATATGACAATTTTCTCAATGAAGAAATCAAATATACAGCTGAGAATTTTATGCCACATTCAGATACAACTTGACTACTCTATTCCTTTTAAAAGACAATAAAGTAGTTCAGATATATAAAACTATAGAATATCAGAGCCTACCAATATCTTGTTAAAAACACCTACACCACATATCTGTATTTCCTTATAGATGTCATTAATGAAGATGAAATGGTATTTTTTTATTTTATGAGCTGCAGACCACTATTTTTTCAATTGTATACATTTGAGGTAAATTTGTGTACCAGAGCATGAGGAAAGCTAAATACCTAGAATATGCATTGCAACATTTTTGATGAAAAATGAATGTGAATAGTATTATTACTCTCACCATGTTTTCTTTGTGTTTCTCCAAAATCCCATGAACAATTAAAGTGAAAAAACCATTCAAGTTAACAGAACTGCATCTTTTCTGTTATTTTAGAATATATTTAGGTATGGTGTGTTCGTAACTTTCGTTTTTTTGATTGGTTCCAGTAATCCACAAGTCCTCAAAATAACTCTCCATCTTTTTTTAAGTAGTTTAATCAGAATGAGAATCTGAACTACAAGTTTATCCAAACCAGTCTCAGTTTAGTGCTTTGGTTTCTGCTGTGCCAAACCACTTCTGGTGTTTCAGGCAAGGCAATGACAGCATACCTTCTTGTTATTATTTATGCATGGAAAGCCAAACCAAATGCTTGGGCGGATCCCTGAAGACATGAAGTAGGTAGTTTTTTCCATCCACAGGACCCCATTTACATTTAAACGAACTTGCTCCTTGTGAAAGATTGACTCCAACAAAGAATACCACATGACCACAGACATTGAAATTAAATCACAATCACGAGTTTAGAAGCCACCAACATACTGCTAAAAACAACCTCCAACATGTATCTGTATTGACTTATATACATCAGGAACAGAGAGAAAATGTTCCATTTTATTTTATGAGATGCATCCTACTAAATTGTCTTAATCCACATACACAGTAAGCGGTTCCTTCCAAACTAAAGTAAAATATGTAACAAATAAAACTACCTCTGCAATGACTGGATTCTTCATCAAGACTAGGAAAATTGTCATGTGCAAGTCTAAGCTTTTAAATGGATGATTTCTTCTAGCTGATGCTAGAGTGGCACTGAGTTGACAAATGTGGGAAAGTCCTCAGCTGCGAGATGGGGGCTTAGGTTGTGGGCTCTTGGTCAATTGAAAGGTTGCATTAAATGTAAATTATAGGACTGTTACTTAGATATATACCCTTCTCAACCAGGTGAAAGGCAAACAGCGCCCTGCACTAATTCACAGATGAACTGGTGATAGGCTTGCTAGCAAAAGCAGGCAGGCAGCAGGCAATTATAATCCTCATCTTTGAAGGAAGGAAGGAAAGGTATTTTTATATAAAGCCATATTAAATTTCCTTTTTTAAGTGCCTCTATGTATTTCTCTTTTCAATTTATATGAAAAGGCATTAGGCAAAAGTCTACAACAGAACTGGCAGTAAATATCACAGCAACAATTGCTCTTTTATTAAATATTTATTGAAATAAATTCCTGCGCTTTCTCATTTTTCTTCTTCTGCTTCCAATATTTATTTACAGCTGATTATTAACATCTGCCAGTATAACAGTTTCATCTGTACAGAAGCCGAAGGGTAAAAAAGTCACACCCCCCTTTTAACATGACCTGTAGTTAGACAGAAAACAGTTTTCCCAGTCACCGCTTGGCTTCCTGTCTGTGACCTCTGAAAAGCATTGGAGGCCAGGGTTAATGGCCTTTCCAATCTCTGTGATAAGAATTCATTTTGTTCTATTACCAGCAGTTATCTCAGGAGCCTGCTGCATCACTTCAGCAGGGTTCAATCAATGAGAGGACCTAATGAAGTAACCAGCTGTAGCTCTATTTCCCTGGTCAACTCTATCAGACAAATAAGATCTATCAGTCACATCTTAAGGCCGATCCTAGAAACAGCATCTTCACATGCCGAACCCGTATGCATATGAACTAATGATACCTGGCCATTTCTTTTTAATCTTTCCTTTTGATATGCCTTTTCTAACACAGAAAATGGAATGAAATGGGCTTTGAGATGTTGCATTAAACAGACAATAATGCAGGATTAAAGAGGCGAAGATTTGCAGAACAGCAGATAGAGTTTGTATTAATAGCAAAAATAGTGCAAATTATAGTACATCACTGATTCTTTGCTTTACAACCCTACAACATTTATTTGGCTCTTTATGCTGGTATTTTAGAACTCTCAAGAAAGAAAAAAATAATTATATTTATTATTTTCAGCCTTAAGTATCATATATAGTTTTAATTATAGGATTTGGTTTTTTGGCTTATCATTTAAGAAGAAAATATAATTATGGTGATATTTTTATTTTTCAGGCATATGCCAGTCAACATAATTGTAGACCTCAATTTTGTTTCACTCCATACTTAGGTGACTTCATGGAAAATAGGTAAATTGTGACAAAACAATATGTATACATTTCTGATTTGATAGAATTAATTGGATCCTCCTATAATTTGAAGGAATTATGTCCTTCTTATAAACACAAACCTCTTCTTACTTTCTGT